GGGTTCCATTCACGGGTCAGGCAAATTATTACTGGGTTTTTTTTTTTAAAATCTCAGTAGTAGCACGGAGTCTGGAATTGTGCCCGGTATATGGCAATAGGCTCACCCCTATTACATGGGACTCATAACTTAAATAGTGAAAAGTGAGTGTTACATTGTACAGTGGCATAATGTTTACCTCTGCCTACCTCTTCGGGGATAAGAGGTGTGATGTTATGTTATGATACTACATGTCACGTGCTATAAAATTAACTGAAAAATTCACAAAATGATTTAAAAATCGTCTTAGAAATGACAATGAATTACATTTATATAAGACCAACAGTACTGTGACTACATACAACTACACTAAATACTAAATAGTTTCAACACAAAAGTATTTGAAGCAGCAATTTGAATTTGCGTGTCTATCGTTCATTAAGTGATAGACATAAATGGCATTCGCGAGTCTCTCAGCAACAAGCAGTATGGCGATGTTCTGTGCTTTTAATGCGAGACGTGATTTATTTACAGGATTCTTCAGTTCAAAATGCTTTTGTTCGTTTGTTGTTTAAATGAAGGTCAATTTTAACAAATGGTGTATTTAAACGATTTTAATGTGGATTTCGTAACAGTTTGGTTTCAATTATTAAGTTTATTTAATGTTTCTTGTCTTGAATTATTACATAGTTACATTACAATTAACTTATCGATTAAATATTAAGAAATTTACTTTTACATTCGTACAACGCAAATCACAAAATTATTTTAAATTGTCAAGGACCATCATAACCTAGAAATAGTTATTTATTAACATCTATTCACACACATGAACATCACACTCCCCACAAACCGAGCAACTCTGGTGATTACGAATAATCTCCCAGAGCCCACTTAAACACGGTCAATACCCAAACCGTCTTCGACCTTTACGTATAGCCACATAAAACAGCCGTTCCCAATACCATTATTTTGGGAGCATTCGAAGCGTCTCCCATCTAAGAGAAAAGAAGTAAGTACATAGGCGAAACGTAGACACATTGGGTGCCGACTCAATAAGATAAATTACTCTGTTATCTAGTTATTTACGGATCTTATTTTCTAGTTTAGCTCTTGGCTCCGGGTAATATGTAGAAATGCTTACAGCGCCTTTTTATGTATGTATTCAGGTTTATTGACATTGAGGAATCGTTGGAGACAACATTTGTGATTATACTTATGTTTCGCACCGAGGATTGTTATACGTTGTGGTGTATTGTCAACGCTGTTTACATTCTACACAGATTCAATAAAGAGGTCTTCTATCTAATTTATTATTGTAGTTGATCTGTTATTGTGTTTGTAAGATCTAGATTGTTTTTTCTTCTTTGGAACCAAGTCTCCAAAACGGTGCTGTGGACTATAATGCCAGTGTCGAGTGGTGCTGTAGACTTTTACTGATTAGGAAGTAAAATATAAATAGTGATGGAAAATATTATATGACATATGACATATATCATTTCGTTTCATTCAAATAAGTTTCATACCCATTAAAATTCCATTAAAAACTTAACAATTAATTGTCCAATGATTTTTCTTGTACCACGAAGAACAAGTTACGGTTAAAGAATCAATTCAATGACCATGTACTGATGACGACCAGCCACTGAGGTCTAAATATAAAAGTAAACATGATAATATTTTGACCGCAGCGCATCTATTCAGTGGAATATTTGACATGAAAATGGTGTCCTTATCATGTGAAGGGTCGCCTGCCTTTGTATGTACAGCGATCGTTCTACTTGTAGAAATATGTGGGTAGCATGGAAATTCTTGTGATAAAGTTATTTTGGTCCTTGGAACGAAAATGTTGTTCGGTTTTTGTGTGCTATTTTTTAGGTCTCTCGTATATATTGTACACATATCTACATGAAATGATCAGAATTTAAATGTATCAATATAACAGTTACCACTTATAATTGAAATTTTAGCATTAACCCCTGGAATGGTATGCAACATACATCTACGCGAAACACAATGTATTTTTGTTGTGTCTCATATAGGATTCAAAAGAGTCTATCCTATTTTAGTTAAATAACATCTGAAATAAATATTTCATTCCATATTGATATAATAAGGCTTCTACATAAATGAAATAATTAATAACGGGAAATCACAAAAACTTGGGCTTCACGAACATTCACCAAATGATGCTATGATAGATGACCGGCGCGTCATAACAACACCGGGAACGAACAGTGTTTTTATTGAGGTTGGTTTCATGTACCTACTTTTTACTATAAGTATTTATAAAATTGAAGAAAATACTAGAATTTTCTTTTGTATCTTGTGTTCATTCATAAAATACAATCACAATTTACAATGTAAATTCGTTATGAGAATTAAACCCACGACATGTTTTACATTAGTCACTAGGCTAATAGTAGAATAGTAGGTAGGTGCTATTTCTCTCAGGGCAAAGAAGATATTACTCTGAGAAGATCTACTACGCAACCTAACATGAACAATCTACAAAAGACGGACGCTACGAAATGGTACGTGCTACGAGTGCTACGAACGCTACGACAGTGGCTACGTGCTACGATTCTAACCCAACCCTTTCGCATCTACGCTCGTAAATCTTTCTTTACTTACGTACGCGCCGCACCTGACCTTTTTTAAGGACATTACCATTGACCATATTTTGTATGCCCTTCTAGAGACTACTTTTTCCGTAGGTAGGTACTTCCATCAAGGTTTTATGTGTAAGCGAGATGATACGCACATATTTTATGAGAGCTGGATACTTTTTCATACTAATTATATAAAAGTATATGAATAAATGCTGTTATATTAATCTCGTACCATGCTTGAATGCGCTGTTTAACAAAATTATGCAAATCAAATTGCACAAGTAAAAAAAAATATTGGATTGACAGTTTTATATGTCAGAAGCTTTTATATACCAAACATCACTCCCCAACAATTCATTTATTTATTTATTTATTTATTTCTTCTTCACAAAATACCGTGAATGGCGGACTTAATGCTATATACTTAATGCTATATATGCACAATAATTCATGGTATATATGCACAGTTTACACCACTTGTTCCTCACTGAATCCGTATAAAACATCCAGCGAGCAACATAAAAAATGGTGGAACGAGGACCCTGTCAATCAATGTCCTAAACAACGAATCCAATACAATCAATAAAGAACTTTGTTTTTCCGAACTACAATGAAGGTACAATAATATCATTTTATATGAAATGTTTGAAACATTTAAAGCCAGATATTTCACAAAGTTAGCCGTCCGATCCTTTATTACACACTAAAGCGCTTAATCCTCCAATCAATATTGAATTTCGAGTATCCGCAGGTGACAAATTAGGCGTGAAGCGGCTAAATAGAGTACGCCGACTAACTATTATACAAGTTTAGCTGATATACAGCCGTTTATATTGAACACTGGACTGACGTAATCGTAGTCTGGAAATAATTATTTGTTTATGGATTCGTTTGTTGAAGAAGTTGGACTTGACTTTATGTATATTTAGGAAACTATTTTATGAATTAAGACTAGCACAATTAATAGCTACAAAATTTTAATACCGGTTTAAATACTTATCATTTCTTTGATTTCATTTTCTTTTTTGGAAATTGCTTTGTACTTATTGTTTTAGTTGAAATTGACTTTGGCGTTGACCCAGTAGCTCACTATTCCTGACATTATTTCAGTTTGTATCTTTATTGTTTCAGTTCAGTTTGTATAAATTGACTGCTGAAAACCTTCGCCCTAGTCCTAACAGTGAATGTACTTTATACATATTATAAGAAATTACATGAGGTATACATAAAATGGTAATTCACATCAGGTCTCTAGAACTATCTTACGTTACAAAGTACTAGCAATAAGTATGTACATTCGTACGTAATATGTACTCTACGCTTCAAGTACTACGCTCTCACTTTATTTTCTAAACTAAGTAATGGTAAGAGAACTTGAAACTCATGTCTACTATTCAAACGTGAGAAACTATAAACTCTAGCTGTAGTAAAATATATCTGAAAATGTGTCAAAATTATCATGTTACCATTTACAAAAATTTAGCTTCTTGGTTTTTCAGAAAGCCATTTTCTGTATACATTATTATTTATTTACAAAACATAAAAATGTGAGAACTTAATTCTACCAATATGCTGAGAAATAAAAAAATCGTTCACTTTTCCTTGCCTTTGGTAGATGCCCTAGTAACCAACGATTCAGGCAGTCTTTTAATGAGTTAAGCCGGTAAACGAACAGACGGATCACCTGATGGTAAGCAATCGACGTCTTCCGTAGACATCCGGAACACCCGAGGTGTTACAAACGCGTTACCGAATACCTTACGAATTTTAGGTTTGTTGGGGGTTCAGGAATTGAGAAGATTGGGGAGAAGGGGTAATTGGGCCTCTGGTAGCCTCACTCACACGACGAAACACAACGAATGCGTTGTTTCACGTCGCTGAGGTCGTGGTATCACTCGTACCTGCCCACTCGGGCCGAATCGTGGTTCTCCCACAATTAAAGTCTAGTAGTACAATGGTTTTAACAAAAAACCTTCATAATATAAATACCTAATAAAGCACCAATCAGATAGTGTAATCTCTATGGCGCATACCGGTACCCCAGTGTTCATGCAACAAACCGCTGGCGGTTGTCACGGGCGGGTTAACTGGCGGCGGCGGGTTAACTGACTATAACTTGTGGAAGTAACCGACACGGGCCTTGATGACACCACAACCGTTTTATGCACACACAAATAAACGCTTTTATAACTTTTCCAGGGACAAATTACTGCTCTTTATTTTAGGAGAAAGTTTATTGAATAAAAACCTGCTGCTTTGTTTGTTGAAAATATTCTTGTAAATGTAATATAAATAAGTAAATATTAACTTTATTATTATGTGTTTGTATCAGGTCAAACTTCTTTATAATATATTTATGTGAATTAATATCATGCATGTTAAAACAAAACGGTATAAAACAATTAGCACTCACCGAAAAGACAGTGTCGTCAACGGCCGATACGACTTGTGGCTATTGTGGTCTGACATCGGAGTGCCCCAGAAGTCGTTCCTAAACACTTGGAGCACATGGTTACCACCATTCACGTCACTGTTGGACACGATCGCGGGGATGTCGTCATGCACGAACTCGCCACCCAAACTATTCGCGTACGTCAGAGCCCCGACAGACGCGACGAGTGTGTACACCACCCACTCACTCTCGCATAGTGTCCGCCACGACTTCGAGTTTGTCACTTCTTCGCGAACTGGCGGTAACGGACGCCGACGCATTTTCACACACCGTTTTTCACTTTTTTTGTTTGTTTTATTTTAGTTTACATGTTGGGACACGTTTCAAATTCAAATATTTGAACACGAACATTTTGTGAAACTGAATATAATATTTGAATCGAATTCGAGTTGGCTTTTTACACGAAATTGAATAAAATATAAAACTAACAATGTAACTCTACACTAAACTGAATAGAGAGCGATAACACTTATAAAAACTTCGGAATACATTAACCCACTTTACTAACAAAAGCGTAATAAAACTCAAACAAACAAAGTCTCAACCGACAGAAAACCTCATCGATTCAATATATCGCTCCGAACTTCATGCATACTCAATTGGCAAACAATCTCAGTTGGATGCACAAAAGGTTGTTACGGACCGTTGTCGTATCGAGCAAAAGTGTGCCCTGTCTGTTTGTACGCTCAGTTATCCGTAGCCCGTGTGATGGATCACCGACGCCGCATAAATCAACATCGTGGGTCAGCTACGACCGCTGATGTCATATTCATGAGTGCTCTGGATAGCTGGGTAAACGATAGTCCGCCCAAGAACGATGAGAGACCCTCCTTTTTCCTTGTTTCGTTTTTTAATTCTTGCCTCACTTTGGGATGAATGCGTTCGTTTTTTATTTTAAATGCTCGTGATTTATGTGGCAGCGGGTGCACTGCAACCTGGAACAAAGGATGGATGTTATTTTTATTGTGGAGATTGCTCTTAGATGTAATGAGTAAAATAAAGAGAATGTGTTATTTTATGGAGCTCGAGGGAATACGGTTTCATGACGGTTTCTTTTAGTGAAACATTTAGAGTAATATTTTTATTTGTATCAACTCTTGCTATAACGTGTTGAAGTGAAAAATATGATTATTTTCGGACGTAAGGGTGTCAGGATAAACTCAGGTCAGGCACGCCTAAGCCGGGGCCACATCGCTCAAAATTCTATTAACTACCCCAAAATCCCGAAGGGGCCCAAATATTCTCCCGAAACTTACAACGACTTAGTTTGTGAAAACAAACTGAACTATCGCGTCATAACTTTGCTAAGAATGTTCGCGTATGTACCTCCTAGCGTCTCACTAATCTGAATTGCTAATGCTCCCCTTAATTCAGTTGCGAGGCGCGAATTAAAAGCTCTATGTGTTAATCACATTATGTCTGTTTGTGTTTTTTATCCTCAAGGCTATGCAATTGAATAAATTACTTTGTTGCATACTGCTAATGAAAGTATTTTCTTATTGTGAGTTGAGTATTATTTAGAGAAGAAAGACAGAGAATTGCGATTGAAATATAAGTTTTTAACAATTTTGTTTCAGTGTTCATGATTGTAAGGCTTTAATAAAATAAACATGGCATTATCACCAATGTAACAATACACAAATATACCATTACTAAAATACATTTCATGCAATGCACATATCCATGTATAAAATATCGTGACGTTTGTTGTTGCAAACAATTGAAACTAATAGCAAGTCACTGAATACCGTCAACAGTTGCGGGCACACAACTCTTACGAATAACAACTAAGCACAAATATTCCAAACATTTGCACAAACAAGTGTCGACAAACGGCGAACATGGGTCATTAATCACGCCACAATTAGGGGCTCACCCCGTCGAACACGTTGGACAAATATTGGATTATATATGATTGATTGGCCCCAAGTTTTGTGGACACCCAACTAATAGAAGAACCAATCGATATGAATTGGAGTTTCGCTGGACTGTCATAGATTAATGACATGACGTATGGATTCGTGAAATGGATTTATATCGTGGGTACCCGCTGCTATTTACGGAATGACTCTGTAAATACTGCAACATTAATTTCAATTTCAAAGGAATGATAAATAAACAACAACATAAGTAGGATTACACAAAGTATAAAACATACAGAATGATAAATGTGTGTCATACTAAAATGTAACGAACAAAATTTTAAATGTAAGTACATTATGTTCAGCATACAGTACTAAATAGCCTTGCGCCATATTTCACGTGCGCAAAATCTCGGCTTACTGAACCAAAAAACTTAAAGAATATTAATAGCTGATAGCAAAATTTTTACCCCGTCCGAGCTCACAAAAACCCTCGCACATATTTCGCTCAAAAACTTAGTTAATTTATTATTCTGAGAAAGTTTGCCTTGTATCTGTTCAGTATTACACTCGCAAATTGTTTTTAAAATATCGCATATCAAGATAACGTTCAAGTTTTTGGAATTTTTCTTCGTCGGCCGAAGAAAAAAGTTTTGTCCCCAAAGACTTTGGTTCGGAATATACCGACAAAGTTAGCACGTCAGATGTCCGCGCCTGTACATGACTGACTGTGGTAACAGATTGACAAAATTACAAGTCTCGGAAGGATTGGAAACTCCAACAAAAAATACATTAACAGAATATTGAAATCCTATGGAAAGCATAAGCAAGTCCTTAGTCGCCTTGAATAGATCTAAAAAAATTAAACTTTTCTATACGAGCAGTTTGTCACAACAAAGCATAAAAGACAATTCTTTTTACATTTAAACAAACAATTCATTTCCAAGGTCTCGTTTAAAAGATTAATTTTCATTTTAAGTACCTTTAGTAAAATTGTTTGTACCATTCATTTGATGGAAGTAAATTAAACCGCGACACGATGAAGAACTAAGATCCATTGAGAATTCACCAATAAATATTTACGTCAGAGTTAACTACCATTGTACACTCGATCATAAGAAAAATTAACTCGCAAAGACTAAAGAAATTGAATTAAAGGAATTTCGTAAATGTATAATGATTGTAGTCAAAGGATGAATTATTAACTCCATCTTGCATATAGTCAAGAATTTCATACAGGTACCTGTGTGCTAAATTATACACATTAACATACATAGTTAATGTACCACCTGATGGAATACCACTCAGCGATGTGTAAGTGAAACACTTGTAGGATGTCACTTCAAATGAAGCAGAATGTACCAGCTAAATAAGATATGTAGGGAAACGCCCTCTATGTGACCTCGAGCGTCTTTAATGATGCTGTGGTTTTCCTCTATCTGTAGTGCATACCTATTAGCTATTTATGACTTTTCCTATGTATAGAAAGATACTTGTCTAATTCAGATTTCGATGTAAGTTACATAGCAAAATAAACTTAATTTCAATTTGATTTCTTCTCAACTTTCGCGTTTCTAATCCCCAATGAATTGAAATAAGTTTCAATGAATACCCCTTTGATTATTCAAACAAAAACTCGTAACAAAATCACTCGGCCACCTCGGAACGAGTGTCTATCGACATCGAGGCCCCGCTCACAGGCTGTAGTAGCCTGAAACCGCAAGAGGCGAGTTAATCTTCCGGCGGGTGGTTCGTAATTCGATTAAAGTTGCCAACTCTTGCCCGACTCTTAATTATGTTTTTGGTGAATTCTCTCGCGGGCCAACGTCACGCAAACCTTTGTTGCCTATCGAATTTGTTTGAATAATGTCGTGGTAATAGATTTGTTCAAGCAGGTTCTCTGTTTATTTTGTTTTAAGGTTTCCGAGAAATTCAGCTCAGCGGGTTGTGATGTTCGGGTTATTTTAATCATGTTTCGACGGTTTACTTTTATCTTAAGGAAAATATAGGCTTTTGGATAGTAAACAGTTACATTACTGGGTAGTAGAGCTTGAAGCAGTTACAGAACATCTAAGTACCTACCACCAGTTATGCGTTATTAATAACAACTATATTATATGGAGAGATTTGAATCCGAACAGCTGAATAAAGTCTAAATGTTGAATCAAACAAGGAACTACTAATGAACACTAAACCAACTAGCCTTCTAGATAAAGCTTAAATAAAGCAACCAGCAATGTTTTAAGTATTCTCCCGTAAAAACAGTGCAAAAGGCGTAAATCCCCGTAGACAAAGAGTATCTGTATGCACAAACTTATAATTAGACCATTCCTGAACTCTAAGGTCTTCGTGGAAAATCCCGAAAGTCAAAAAGCCTCATCCCTTTATTTATTCACAATGCAGTCCATTGTCGACGGCGAGCCTGTTACAGCCACTGTTACTATTAACTAAAGGAGTCTTAGCTTCGTAATCTCGAATGGAATTTGCGAGACTACATTAGCATTTCAAATCAACCTCTCGCCGTCTTTTAGAAGCCTATCTTTTCAACCTTACGGATTGTGTTACTCCGGAATTTACTTAACTATCTAACTTGTGTATTCCTTGTAGGATGCCTGCTAACAGCCGGTTCGTGTACGCTTTTTAAGATGTAGATTATAAAAGTTAATGAAGCACTCGGAGGTAGGTAAAGTCTGCATACTTAGTGTCTCTTTATCTAATCATGTTTACGAATTGAGTTACCTCACAGTATTGTAGGCGTAATTCGCTCTTGGCTGTACTACCCACGTAACACAGTGGAATTGGAATAGAAAATCTGAATAGTCAATTTCTTTCTAGACAATTGTTAATCTTAAGTCCAATATTTCTATTTTAATGTGCATTGTGTGTGAGATGGCGTATATATATTAGCACTATCATGAGTATAAGTACAGTTATCTATCACAGCACTGTGTTCCCCGTTTTGTTTTCTGACCTCACAGAAACAAAGGGAGGATGAAGTTTACAGCGGCTTACACAAAGATAAAAGGGTAAACAAACTGATTCCATCTAATTACCTCATGTCTTCATTACTCTGCCGCGTTATCAGCCTGCAATCTGAACGATCTGTCGTCAGCTATAAATGGGCGTGATAACACGGGGATCCTTTCAGATCTACTCCTATTCATCACTGGCCTCTCTCACGTTATAAATAATTTAAAACAAAGGCTCGCGACATTGATCGTTGTTTACGGCAAAGATCCTGATCTTAATGCGAATAAATTACTTGTTACAAAGATTTGTTCGAGCCCCTCACCCTTCCTGCTTGCTCTGTAACAGTATCTGGAACGCTGATCAATCAAGTGTTCAACTTAATAAGTTTATTAACGCCGAAAATTTGGACGGGTTTCTCTTCGTTAATC